GTCGTACAATTTTCGATAAATTGATGTCTGTCTGCTAATGGTGACACAAACTGGTTTTCCTACAGAGTGGAACAGTAGTGGACACAAATGATTTTTGAATGAAAGTTTTCTATCATGTTGCCAGAAACAGGTTCGGCTTGATATCTCCATACAATTTACTCGAGTTATTCCTAATCTGCCCCGGTGGACCATTGACGTAGGATTGCAGGCAATGCTTTTGAACTTTGTACTATTTGAGTCCAATACTTTCAGAGGCCCTGGCGGCCATAAGAAATTAAGAACAGGAAGATTAAAGAAACGCTCGAGCAAAATATTCCAGTATGGCAGCAGCAGCCTGCGAGCTAGGCCAAGGCCAGAGAGAAAGTAGACTTATGTATCAGGGGTATTACTGTGAACAGATCTTGATTCACGTCACTGAAAGGCTGAAGAGAAATAATTTACTCCTCAGCCTCGAGGGGCTCCTCCTCGCCGCTGCCGAGAGTCAGTACACGTACTCTGCAAAAAGATCTGGGAAAACTTACTATTCCTCCTCGCCCTCGGAGATGGAGGCGTCCTGGTACTGCTGGTATTCGGAGACCAGATCGTTCATGTTGCTCTCGGCCTCAGTGAACTCCATCTCGTCCATACCCTCGCCAGTGTACCAATGCAAGAAAGCCTTGCGACGGAACATAGCAGTGAACTGATCACCGACACGCTTGAACAGCTCCTGGATGGAGGTGGAGTTACCAATGAAGGTGGAGGACATCTTCAGGCCACGGGGGGGAATGGAGCACAGAGCGGTCTGGATGTTGTTGGGAATCCACTCAACGAAGTAGCTCTGGTTCTTGGACTGGATGTTGCGCATCTGGTCCTCGACCTCCTTCATGGAAACCTTACCACGGCTAAATTATGGTCAGTAAAGAGATCGTGCATAATGTCCGTAGGTCTAGTAACATACAAAATGGCAGAGCAGGTGAGGTAACGTCCGTTGCGGAAGTCGGAAGCAGCCATCATGTTCTTGGGGTCGAACATCTGCTGGGTCAACTCAGGAACGGAGACAGCACGGAAAGAGTGAGCACCGCGGCTGGTCAGAGGAGCGAAGCCGACCATGAAGAAGTGCAGACGAGGGAAGGGAACCATGTTGACGGCCAGCTTGCGCAGATCAGAGTTGAGCTGACCAGGGAAACGAAGGCAAGTGGTGACGCCGGACATGACGGCGGAGACCAGGTGGTTCAGGTCACCGTAGGAGGGGTTGGAGAGCTTAAGGGTGCGCATGCAAATGTCGTACAAAGCCTGTGAACCAGTCAGTATCCGCGTTGTTTTCTGGACAATCACTCCACCCATACCTCGTTGTCGATACAGAAGGTCTCATCGGAGTGCTCAACGAGCTGGTGAACGGAGAGAGTAGCGTTGTAAGGCTCAACGACAGTGTCGGAAACCTTGGGGGAGGGAACAACGGAGAAGGTCGCCATCATACGGTCGGGGAACTCCTCACGGATCTTGGAGATCAGAAGGGTACCCATACCGGCACCGGTACCACCACCGAGAGAGTGGGTGACCTGGAAACCCTGGAGGCAGTCACAGCCTTCAGCCTCGCGACGGACGACATCGATAACCTGGTCGACCAGCTCGGCACCCTCGGTGTAGTGACCCTTGGCCCAGTTGTTACCAGCACCAGACTGGCCGAAGACGAAGTTATCGGGACGGAAGAGCTCGCCGAAGGGACCGGCACGGACAGCGTCCATGGTACCAGGCTCGAGATCGACCAGAACGGCACGAGGAACATACTTGTCACCGTTGGCCTAGTAGCGAGTCAGATCGTGAGATGTTGCCGAAATAGTAGAGTCGAGAGTTTCATCCACACACCTCGTTGAAGTAGACGTTCATACGCTCCAGCTGGAGATCGGAGGAGCCATTGTAGCTATTAACCCCATCAGACACGCGTCCTCTTCTTCCTTCCTTTCGTGTTTCCGCCGCTTTCTCAATTGGGAGGATATAGGTCGAACTTACTGGCCAGAGCCGTCAAGGCCGTGCTCACCAGAGATGGTCTGCCTGTAGATTTGTTAGCTGATACCCATGACAGCGAAGCTGAACCCATGGAGGACAGCCTGCTAAGACAGGTCCCAATCTCCCGTCATCCAAGAATTGAGGTCAAGACATACCAGAAAGCGGCACCAATTTGGTTACCCTGTCACCAAGAATCGAGTTTAGTCTCTGCTCAACGCAAACGCCATCCCTATGCTTCTTCCATCTCCCATAACAGTCCCTCACCCACGATGGGCAGTACTTACACACTGACCGGTCTGAAGGTGAACCTGTAGAATAAAAAAAAAAAAACAAGTTAGCTGATCCGCATTCTTGAGGAACAAGTGGGGTTCTTCTATCCAGGGAGAGCCCAAATCGACGCGTCTCCTAACCGGAACAGGGGGGTGTGTTTAGGCACAACATACGATTTCACGCATTGTGGATGATTTGCTGGAGAGTTACTTGGGATAGGTAGAAAAGAGATGAAATAGGAAAGTTCAAATTGAACAAAAGGATAGAGACCGTCGAAGAAATGGGGACGGAGAGGAAGAATGGAGAAGGGAAAGGGGAGTTGGGTTGAAGTTTAGCGGTGAGGAGAGAAGGAGTTGTTCGTTGTGCGGGCTGGTCTCTCAGGGATCAACAGACAACAAGTCAACATTTGCTGTTGGTAAATAAATCAGGGGGAGCTACGGTCAAACATGGCTTAGCGTGATTTCTATCACGGGACACCAGTCAGCAACGAACCACAGGTTGGACAACGACAACAACCGCGAACCATGAATTGGAGTCATCCCATCATGCAGGCAATTAAACAATGGGTGTCAATAAATAAGAGAGTGTCTATTTCAATAATAAGTGCCAGTTCTTGCAATGTTACCCCGTTTCATCATGTCTTTATGTCAGCATGGCCTTTCCCGCCGTTTCTTTCGGCTCAGATGTCCAGAGTACATAATCCGCTATAATACAGGACAAAGTGTGTGAATCAATGACCTCCTTCAGCGCCTATTCAGTTGGCATGTATACAACACCTAGGCGGAAGAGAGAGGTTTAAGAAGTTCCAATTCTCCGAGAAGCCACTACTTGGCAGTATTCTCCACCACATGGGAGCTTTCCAGCCAAGTCCCAAATTCGTCCAACCGTGCGTTTTCTTCCTCGTCTTCGGCGTCAAGTCCTCTCTCCGCCATATCCTCAAGAGCTGCCCGCCTCTCATTGCTCTTTTTGAACTTCTCTTTCCCATCTGTGATGTAGGCTTCGACGCGTGTGCCGGCGAAAAAGCGACCATCCATGACCTAGAAATTTGTTAGAGAATGGACCTTCGCAATGGTTATGACGTAGGAACAAAATGAGCCAGCACAACATACTCTGACACATTGTCTGGCGGCTTCAGGGTCGGTGAAACGAACGCTGACAACTCCGTCGGGTTCTTTGTCATACAAAACGACATTCGTAACCTCGCCTAACTTGGAGCACTCCTCCCGAATGTCGTCCTTGATGTCAAGGATGGCTGCTGGATCCTCCTACAAAGGGTGAGTATCACTCCGTCCCATAAGTGGCATAACTGGGAACCATACCTCGATCTCCTTCAGAGTAAACATGTGTTTGAGTATGACAACTTTCTCAAACCTAGAGCTCGTGTCTGTCAGATTTGATGGCTCGTCGTCACTCCAATCAGCGAGTTTGCTAGTAACACCACGTCAGCCCACATCTCGTCAAGTCCCGCGGGTTGCCTTGGACGGACCTATTTAGTTTCTGAGTCCTCTTGATGATCTTCTTCTTATCCCTCATGCTAGTCTTTGCCGGTGCCTCTTGTTGGCTCTTGAACGAGAAATCTGCAGCCTGGACCTTCATCGGTCCCTGCGGGCCTGTCACCCCTAACCTAAAGTCTGACTCGTCCAGCATCTGTATGGCGAGGTTGACAGACTCCGGCCGGAAATACACTATCAAAGCCTCGCCCTTGAACTTGCCGTTTTCATCCATATACATCTTAATTCGGGGCCGGCCACTGTCAATCTCTTCGGCGATAACGCCACACTTGGAGAAGACGTCGCGGATCTCATCGAACTCGGCATCAAGGGGAATAGATGTGACGAAGACGGCAGTGTTTACTCGTTGTTTCTTCGGCTTTTGGCCATTATTCTGCGATTTAAGTCTAGTCAGTCACTTCGATACAATAATGGATTGCAAGGCCATATCGCTTGCGTCACTAACCTCATCCCCACCGGTCTGCTGCTTCCGCTTCTTCTTCAATTGTTGCGCAGTGACTTGTTCATTTTCGTCCACCCCTTGAATCTTGTAGGCTTCTTGTTGCTGCTGGAGCAAGTCATCGTCGACCTGGAGAATACCCAACGGCGCGGAAATGTCGCGCCAACCACACAATCAGTTTCACGAACCGACCAAGACCCATGTAGCAACGGCGATCGCAGTGTATCTGCAATCAAACGCTGTGCTCCAGATACGATACTTGGCAAGTGGGAAAAATACAGTGTGGGAGGAAGGGAACTCATAACAAGAGGGAGACAGAAAAGGTAAGAGTTCAACGATCGCATGATACAAAGGGAATCGACCAGCTGCAGAGGAAGCGCGCACACACCGTCGGAATCCATCGTTTTAAAACCGTATCGTATTCAAATTCCTGTCCGTCTTCAGTCTCTAGTATAAACTTGTTGTCCAGCTTCGAGAAGGAAATCCTGGGGTCGCTGTCGAATTCAGTCGGGTCCTGCGGAAAGTTGCTAAACGGCGCCGGTTTAGGTGCTTCTTCGCTGGGGCTTCGAGATGCCATCTGCGAAAGACTGTAGACCGATACACGTAATATAAGAATACAGCAAACGAGAAGGAATCACGAGGTGTAGAGAATAATATGCGCTCTGATTTGAAGAATTGGAATGGTTTGCGGGGTGAGACGTAGCTCCAAGCTCCAAGGGGATTTCTAGGTGGTGACGACGGGAAGCTCCAATCGTGGCTTATCATTGGCTGCAAGCCATGACATCTGCCATCACCTAATCCCATGCGAACTGCAACCCTTTACAAATGTTACGCCTTAGGTATTTCATTGCTTTCTTCAATGTGGGCTGCCAGTAACCACTACTGGATTGGTTTTTCAAGAACATACTAGATGAACAAAGTAGGTGCCGCCAACCCATGATTGATGTTTAGGTTGTCAAAACACTACGTACACCTTCATCATACGAGCAAAATAACATGTGGCATTGAGAGATGCTAAGATGGTTCCACGAGCCAGCTGCTTATCTGAAAAGGCACAGAAGTCCTGACGCATGATGTTTCAATGACTTCAGACGAAGAAGATAGAATGTTTTGTACAGCCAAGGGCATATTCCAACGTGACGAAAGAAACAAATGATAAACAGGAAATATATACAAACAGATTATGATCGACAGAATGAGGACATGATTATTAAGGACAGGGTATCATAGAATATTAGTGAGTCTGACACAGTGTTCAAGCCTTCGTTTCAATGGTGCCCTCGTGGCCCTCGGTAGGGGTGATTGTCCGCTTGGAAGAGCCATCAAGGCCTTCAGGGCCCTCAATGCCGGCGATCACATCGCGAGTGATTTCGACATAGTCATACTAGGAAACATGTTAGCTCAAACGGTTCAACCGCAGATCGTCAGAGCACATACAGCAAACTCGCCAATTTCGGCGTCGTCGATACCCAGAATCTCATCTTCTTCGGCAGCGCGGAGGCTGAGACCAGGGACCAAATTGATGAGAAAGAGGATGAGGCAGCTACCAAAGAAGGAGTACGCAAAGCCAGTAACAGAGTCGGCTAGCTGGTACCCCAGCTGAACCCAGTTGTGGTTTATCCATCCACCAGGGATCTCACTGAAGCCATCGAGGTGCGCAATGTAGTCACTGGCAGGACGCATGTCAGTCATATATTAGTCTGTCTTCAATTGGAATAATGCTTACGCGGCAAAGAAGGCAGTCAAGATGTTGCCAACGAGTCCTCCAATGCCGTGGACGGCAAAGATATCCAAGGCGTCATCAATCTTGAGCCAATACTTGAGCTTGGTGGCGTAGTTGCAAGCGATAGCGCCGACAACACCGAAGATAAAAGCAGCCCATGGGGGCACGAAGCCAGATCCAGGAGTAATAGCGACCAAGCCAGCGATGACTCCCGAGCAGAAACCCACGGTAGACCACTTCCTCTCGAGTCGGTAATCCAGAAGACACCAAGTGACACCACCAACAGAAGCGGCGAGGTTGGTCACAAAGGCTGCCATGACAGCTCGCATATTGGCGGCAAGGGCCGAGCCAGCGTTGAATCCAAACCATCCCACCCAGAGGAACACAGTGCCAATGACAACGTGGGTGACGTTGTGAGGGCGGTAGTTGAGCTCATGGGTGCCGTGACCACGGCGTTTTCCGAGCATTAAAGAGTAAGCCAATGCTGCTGAGCCGGAGGCAATATGCACAGGTGTGCCGCCTGCAAAGTCCAAACCACCGAGCTTGAAGACCCAGCCGGAGGAATTCCATGTCCAGCAAGCGATAGGGTCATAGATGATCGTGGTCCAGATAAAGGAGAAAACCATGCACGGAAGCATACGGCCACGTTCGGCGGCGGCACCGACGGCAAGTGCTACACTTTCGAGTTGTCAGTTGTCCTATCTTCGAGCGGGACGGGAATGCTTGAGTTTGGACTCACGTAATGCAAGCAAACATTCCCTGGAACACGGCGAAGAGCAGATCCGGCACCTTGCTGCTGCCAACCGAAGGCGCTGCCAGCACACCCTTGAATCCAAAGTTCGATAGATCACCAATATACTTTCCAGCGGTATGGGAAAAGGCTAGTGAGTAGCCCCAGAAAAACCACTGGAAGGAAACGACACCGACAGACATTATCGAGAGCCATATCAGAGAGAGGGCCGACTTTCGACGGGCAAGACCAGAGTAGAAGAAGCTAAAAGCTGTTAGCGATGGACATGAAGATGAGTCTCATATTCTCATACCCAACACCAGGAATCATAAGCAGGACTAATGCGGTTGATGTGACAACCCATGCAATGTCACCGGACTGGAGGAACAGTCAGCTACAAGCGTTCATTCCAGAACAGCATACTACAATGGTGAGGTTGACGAACGCTGTAGTATATGTTCAAATCCTCCGTCAAGGAATCTCCACCCGTTGCTATGGTGCCATTGTAGGCCACCGGGTATTCCGCCATTGTGAAACCACCTGTAGCACAGTCGCAGATTTGTAGATTGGGACGATTGGTTGGCAGAGGTCACTGACCAAGGCCGGTTGCCGTGGTGCTAGATAACCAATGATAGAAAGCTGAAGTCACAAAATACAACGAGACAGGCCCTGCACAGGAATGAACTGCAGAATCAAATTCGAAGCCGTCGGTCAGAGCTCAAGGTCAGAGCTGAACACGAGAAGAAGGAAAGGGAAGGCTTGGATGTCTGATAAAGGGAGAAATGTGACAGGGGGAGAGGGCCAGACCCATAAATATGCGATGCTGATACAAGTCAAAGACGCCATGGACAATGGAGCCATGGCCATAGTTCCTGAAATCAAACACAATGCTCCACTGTCGGGCGCTAGGGAAAGGTCTATGGCCTTGGCTCATCCGGCTGATAGTAGTCAAATTGAAAGATTGTGATAGATATCAGACATAATCTGGCCAAGCCTTCTAGAGTCATGGTGCAATGCAATGGATAAGCCCATGGCTGATTAGTTTTCGTTTTACCATGAATAATCAATATGACAAGGATGATGTCCAGGGAGCAGGTCTCTACGTAAGTTCGTCTATCAAGGGAGCTTTAACTCAGCCTATCTTTCTAGGTCCAGCAGTATGACCCTCCAAGTACTAGGAGCCTAGGACCCTTCTAGGGAATCCTAGACGAGGATGACGGGTCGAGGAGTGCGATGATAGGAAGCCATATAGCAGATTAGACGATAACATCAAAACCATGGTCCATATGTCCCATTATCGTCGACAAAGTCCCATAGAAACTGATGGGATCAGGAGGATACCTATGTAGATACTGTCCCTCGAGATGATTGGGGGACGAGACGAGCATTGAGAGTGGTTGTAGATATGGACTTGCTTTGGACCAATCAGCAGCTCTGCTGCCAGTCCTCAGCCTGATACGAAGTCCTTTAGGTATTTCTTCTTGACTACCTATCCTTTCCATCCTTCAAAGGCAAGGACTGTGATATAGGTTGGTTGCCAAGATGAATTCCTCTGCATTGTACTCGTATGCAGACAATGATCATTGCTATACTGCGCGATGTTGAGTTTGCAACTGTTCTTCGTTACTTGTCACCCAAGGTACTTTACATATCGTTACGGTGTCAGCGCACCTTTGACTCGTGTTCCGGGTTTGATAGGAAGGAGGAGCCGCTGGTACCTCAATTAGCTTACTATGTAGGGGGCTTTTCACAGCATCACGCTGACTGTCGCTTATATCAAGTGTTCCAGTATTAACATGGGGTAACGCACTCTTTCTCGGCCTTCTACTTAGAAAGTTCGCTTATCAGTCGTTATCTTGAGCCAGACAACCAATCATCTGTCGCTTTCGCTTCCTTATCAGCCAGTTCCTCTGACCTCATGGGTACATCTCAGATTTGAACTTAGCATGCAGATATCCATCTCCTCTCTGTCATCCGACAACTTCTCCTTAATATGTGTAGACAAGGTAGAATGCGAGAGTCCAACGATATCCGGTCGATCGTAATTGTGACTTTTCAACGGTTCCGTCTCCTTACGCAATCAGTTCAACTACACGGAACCAAAGAGCAGATCACCCAAGTGCCCAAGGTAGGTACGGTACCTGCATTCAACCTCAGGCTGTCCTATTGAATAGGTAAGGTAATTGCTAGTCTTCAGATTAGATAGATACCTATTGCTTATTTTCGTACCTTGGGTATCTTGCGTTCGGAACGTTAGATGTGACAGGAGGTGAAAAAAGATAAGGATCTCTGGTCCTATTGGTTGGGCGATTTCGGCATCCCGATCTGTTCGGATTAGGGAGCTTGGCACATCAGTTTTCAACGACTCTCTCAAAGAGGTCAAAGATGGCATGGACGTTGTATAGAGCAGTAAGGAGATAGTTATCCGTCCCAAACAACCGATGCTCCTCCAGCCCTTGCTTTTCCATTGCCACAAATATCCGTCAAGGCGACGGATGACCACATCCCAATTGGGTAGATTGTCCCATTCCTTCTGTTTTTCTTTCCAAGGCTATTGCTTCAAAGGCACCCGCCATAGAGGCGTCTTAAGCCCTTTAACCCTCAGCTCTGGTGCGTGTGCCAATTTAGAGGGTTTCAGAGCTCAATTTAAATAAATAAAAAAAAGAAAATGTAGCCAGTTGCTCGTCAGCTACGTAACATGCAGGTGCCGGTCTGTAAGGATATGTCTACGGAGTGCTTTCAAATACATCTTTCTCGGCATAGAGCGCTACTCGATGGAAACCGACATCAGACTCTCCGCATATGTCTACCTGTGGCTCTTTTGAAGCTCCACCAGGCCTAGATCATCGAGACTTCGAAACGCATCCAGAATTCAGACTCAGATGGGACAAAGCGGGCTTTCATGTAGATCCGCACGCTCCAACTTGGGAACATCGAGTCCCACTGATCAGCATCAAGTATATCCCTTAGATTTACTCATTCTATGCATAGTTAACTTGCTATTCTTGGTCATCATCTTGGTCATCATCACGTACTAAGCAGGCATATTTCTTGATAGCCGCTGATCATTGAAGTCCAGATTTGTCTGTGCCTAATTTTAGGATTGGCATAGAGAAGTAAGAGATTCAAATCTGTCCAGCCTAGGATCACAAATGCTACCACCTATGATGTATATCAACGGAGCACATCATCTGTCCCTTTCGAACTTCACCGGTGTTACCTCGAAAGCCCGTGACGTGTTTGGAAAGTCCCTCTCAAATTGTAATCACAATCTGATTGAATCTATAGAGGCCAATTACCTCCCAAAGCGTAAGACCGGCTGATATTGATTCGGTCACAACAAAGTGGTGCCGGAGGCCATACATCATCCAAAGTACATGAATCAGTGCCCTCAAAGCATCTATGGTGAAGATAGGTTGGCATCTAATGTGTCAAAGAGCTATCTAACCTGACATCGACTTCCTTCTCTAACAATGAAGAGATGAACCTTGGAATCATTATTCTGAAATATGCATTGTTACCCGAGAAGACCGGGCTCAATTTTGTACCTGTGATTCGCCGTACGCTGCCACGAGTTAGCTAAATTTGGCTGAAAATACCTACACAACTCAAGCAATTA